CAGCAATGAAGGAATGAAAACCCAAAATCCCTGTAAATGTTCATTAAAACTAATAAAATTTAATAAAATAAAATAAAAAAAGGCCTGAAGCATTTCTAGAACTATTGACATTTATCAACGTTCATAGGGTTTCCGGAGGCATGTTGTTTAGGAAGTGGATGCCACTCCTGCTTTTGCTTCTAGGCAGTGATAAAATGCTCTTAAAGAAGTGGAGAAAATTCTCTTTGGATTAGAGATTAATGAGGCGTCTTGTGCTGACTCATACTTCATCTTTGACATCTGCTGATGTGCTGTCCCTGGGAGTAAATGAGAACCGTGTAAACCTCAGATGCCACCAGGCACGTGGTGGGAGCAGGAACGGTTACATTTCATAATAAACAGTCAAGCGTCAGGGAACCTGTGCGTTCTTAAAACTTGCCATAACTGGTACACATGACAGGCAGCCAGGGATGCTAGGGTTTAAAATCCAATTTGGCCACTTCCTTGCACTGTGACCTCAAGTAACCTGTGAACCTCGGTTTCCTCAACGAATAAAGCCTTGTCGAAATGCTGTGTATTTTGAATGCTGCAGATGTGCAAGCATGGTGGGTCACGTCACTATGAGCTTTTCTCATTTCCTGCCTTACACTTTCTTAATTAAACTTGTTAACGCTCAGGGGTTCCCCCCCCTTACTCTTTTGTGGGCTATTTTGGAAAATTTAAAAATTGCATCATTGCCGTCTTAAGGTTTGCCAGGCCCACGTGGCACTCCCATTATTCAGATGTGCACAATGGATTTGCATTTTCTGGCTTCAGCTGTTCCTTACATCCTGCCTTGGGGAATAGATGCTTAAATTGAGTGATAGCCGGCCTCCAGCCAGGATCTCAGAACTGGGGCATTCTTATCTGTCACCCACAACCCGACTCGCATCCAAACGGCCCTCAAACAGCGGCATCATTCACTGTTTATTGGAGCCGCTCAAATTCGATCTTCAAGCAGCATTTCTGTGAGGCGGCTCAAGGATAATTGCTGATTTGTATTTTGCTTTTAAAATGCTGACTTGCTGTTTTCTTTCCCGGCTTCCATCATTTCCTATTTTCTCCTCTGATGTGGCCTTATAGGGACTCAACAAGCATTTATTGGGCAAGTGAATATGACTGTGGTCCCTCAGAATCAGAACCTGATTTTAAGATCTCAATCAAGTTACAGTAACACTCTGTGGATACAAGGGACTCTTTTCCCAGTTTGCCACCGCTGGTACATGCACAGGGTAATTGACTAACTGCAGAGCCTGGTCCACTTCTGCTTCTGAATCCAGACCAGGCAAGGCCGCCCAGGCCTTTTGGATTCCTTGACACCAGATAGAGCTGGGCAAGGATAAGATTCCTCTGGAATTTGGTTTAGATTCACCAGCAACTGCACAGGAGAAAGATGAGCAAACGTCTTCCTGTGCAGTTTACAGCCTTGGAGACCTGCTGCAA